TTGTTTTGATTGTCTAATTTATGATCCTCTGACTGCAACAGATACTTGGCATGGGCGCCTGTGATACTCTGCCAGGCCTGTGCTGCAACCATGCTCACATCTTTCTTGTTTTGAAGGCTTCTTGCCCTCAGTCTGGTCTACAGCGAGGGAAACACATGCTCAGTTGGACTGAGGTCAGCTGACCGACTTTGCTATTCAGGAGCATCAGAGAGTATAAAAATACTGAAAGTCAGCATTTTAAACCCAGGGTTTGTTTATCATACCAAATGCATTTTACTGCCTGCAATGTATGCCCAGGCAATTGTAAAAAGTATCTTTTCACAGAATACAGTGGAAATTCTGTGAGAATTTACATTTATATTTTTACTGGTAGCTGTGAAAAATAAAGAACCCCTTGAAATAAATTGATGTGTGGAGATTAACTTTATGGCACAGATAGGGAGTTTCAAAATAGTGGTAATCTATTATTTCCTAACCTTATTATGCCTTATTAACCAAAATGAAAGAAAACATTACCTTGTTTTAATACATACTAATATGATCTCAGGGAGGCTAGAGACAAGGAGGTTGTTTTATGTTTTCATATTTTTGCAACTTTTTTAGCAAAATTTTGTTATCTTTGATGGCATATGTGGAGTAAAATAAGAAAGTGATGAGGAATTACACAATGGTAGGACTTAAGAGTCTTCGTAACGCTAGAAATATCTAAAACCAGCTTTAGTAATAACATGATGGGGCCGCAGTGTGGACTTTAGTTAGTGAAATGTAATGCTTTAAAAAAATGCAGCTGTGTTATAATGCCCCACCTAATAGTAAAGTTTTTTACTGCACAGTATTTAGAAAGGGAAGTTGATATTCAAAGCAAGTGCACATAAATGAGGCTTAGGCTATATGATTAAAACAAAGACAATATTACAACCCTTGATAAAAGAATGTTGTATTTCTGTTTATCCCCCCCTTCTTTAAATGCTTTAGCAAGTGAGAAGAGTGAGCACATTTTTATAATTTTATCTAGGGTTTAAATCATCCTTTAAGTTCATGGAGCTCAGTATATCAGAAAAGGGTTTGCCATAGTGAAGAAATTAATCCTTACGATCTTCCTAATTATGAAATAAAAGGAAAATGAAATACATTTTTTTCTAATGACAATCTGGGAATTGTAGTGTGCTTATATGTATTCACCCTCCTTCACCTTAGTTTAACTTGCTGCCCTCAGAGGTTCACCTGCTTGTATTTAATTCAGTATTGAAATCCAGCTATTCAGTGAATTCCTCAGAGGTTTGTTACTGAATATTACTGAACAAACAGCATCATGAAGACCAATGAGCACAGCAGACAGATCAGAGATAAAACTGAGTAAAAGTTGAAAGCTGACTTAGGTTCTGAAACAATACGCCAATCTTTGAATGGCTCACAGAGCACAGTTCAAAACATCATCTGAGATGGAAGGAGCAGAGTATACATGATAAAGCTGGAAGAGCTGTGGAGATCCACAACTCGGCTGAAACGTATCTTGGAAAGCTAACACGGTACATCCATCTAAGAACATAGATCTGTGGCATCATCATGACATGGGGATGGTTTTCTTCAGGAAGGACACAAAATCTGGTCAGAGTTGATGTGAAGATGGATGGAGATAAAAGAAGGTCAGTCATGGAAGGAAAGCTGTTAGTTGCTGCAGAATAGTTGAGGTGGGGGTAGAGGTCCACACTCAAACAAACCTAAACGTACAACCGGAGCTAAAGCGGACTGGTTTAGACTCTTCCTAAAAAAATAGTATTGTTTGGAAGTTTGTTTATCTCAGTAACTCCATCACTAAATGGATGAAATTATATAAATGAGTTACATGCAGATTGATGTGTTTAAAGGATAATATTCTGCTGAGAGAAAGAGGAAATATAACATTTAAGATTAGAATATCATATCACAGAAAAAAACCCTGATATAGAATTATGAGCTTTATGATAAATAGGTTTTAAAACCTACTTAATCTTATTTCTAAGTAGTGCTTTTCAACCAACAAACAAACCTCGATGCTACAGATATTGTAATCTAAAAAAGACGTCTGTTTTCAGTTTATAAAATAAGCCTTTATCAGTACAGGCAGAAGTCCAACCAAGAGTCTCTGAAAGGGAAGAACATTGCTGTCACAGATGCTCCCCATCCAACTCTTCCAATTTGAAGTTGTGGATGTGTGTAGTGTAGTCTGCACATAAAGGCAGTCATATTCTTCTTCCTTTCCCTCAGCTTGTGTTATTCAGCAGCAGCATGTTCTCCAGTTTTGACGATAAAACCACTCTGCCGGTACCTCAGAACAGATGCTAGATGTGAATCTTAATTGGGCTAAGCCAATGATTACGTGTGCAGCTCATAAAAAAAAACGGAGTCTACATGTAGTATTACGGGGGACAGAAGGATGTAGCAGATTTTACAAATCTACATTGGTGCTCCTTTGGGTGTAGTGATGTTCTACCTTACACATTATACCCAGGGGCTTCATGCCAGCTCTGTCTCTGCGGATCAACCAGGTCGGATTTTCCTGGATGTTCAGGGACAGCGACACTGTTCTCTATTTGTGTGATAGGCAGCAAGCAAACCACAGAGGTTCTATCTCTGTGATTACATTTTGAAAACTTTTGTCTTTCTTTTCCTTAAGCCAAGCGTTGATATCTCAAGAGATTCATGCTCAGCTCTGACATTCATTCTGTTTTCTGTCCTTCACTTTATTGCTTATTTCTTCCCATTGTTCACATATATAAAGGCCATTTCATTTTCAGGCATTTGTTTGTTCTCTTGTTTAAATTCGTTCTAAAGCCTCATTGCATTACGGATAAATAGTAATTTGCATTTTACTGAGTAAATCTATTTACATTTGGTTTCTTACGCAGACATTACAACTGAAAAATAGATTCATTTTCATATGGATTAAGTAGTCCCAGAAAATGCATTGTTATATTGTTTATCATGTTTATTGTTATAAATCTGGTCGTGATTCTATAAAAAACTAGAAGTTTGCTGTGAAATTCATCTGGCAGTAAGAAGTTAGGATCAGCCTTTTTGATGCTACAATACTTCAGGCTATATTTTTCAAGATATAACACATTTCCTTACAATATTCATATTAAAGGTGATATGATATTTAGTGTTATTTAATAGCTTACTTAACTGAAGGAGGCACAGGTTAGGGGGGAAATCCTGTCATCACTACAGCTGTTGGCTGGGTTTTACAAGTCTGGCCTTTGATAAAAAGAGGGAGGAGGAAAACCATTGTGATGGAGAGCCATTAGAAGTCCCACTAAATTTTTTACAAGCCATGTTGTGGGACGGTGCAGATATGTGGAGGAAGGTCCTCTGGTTGGATCAGTACAAGCTGTTCCTTTTGCCCTAAATGCAAGATGCAGTGAGTGAAGGAAAACTGAAACAGTGCATCGATTCGCCACGACCGCGCCGTCAGATGAATGGATATGGTGGTGGCAGCATAATGCTGTGGGAGGGAGATGGTCGGTGTTTTATGGGAGGATAAATTGAGCCAAATAACAGGGAATCCTATACAAACCTCTGCCATTGACCTGAAGGTTGTACATTACAGTAGTTTGGATAAAATATTACTATTTACAACCAAAAACAAATGTTAACATACATTTTGTAAAAAAAAAAAAATGAACTAAGTTTTTCCTCTCTATCAGTTAGGTTAGGGTTCCAAAACTTATTTCTGTTTGTTAAAATCTAAAGCATAAGATGGAGAATTCCTTAAATATGTTTTATTAATTTCTTCAAATCCAGAGGTTTTTCTTTTAAGCAACTAGGAAAGGCCCAGATGTTGATATCTCAGTATTGTAGGCGAAATGGTGGCACCTATGTGTGTCTTCTAAAGCAGCAGCTCACACACTCTGCTTTGTTGTAGGATCTAATGGAAAAATCTCAGGCAAGTCTGGTTCAACTTTAGTTACAGCCTGGGATGCCTCAAGGTAATGGTGTTAATCTTTTCAAATAATTATATGCAATTATAAGCTCCATGTGAATGTGCTGCCATCAAACCAGTCACAAAGAAGACGTGTTTTGGTGGAATGTGCTTTAACTGCATATTACTGGAATAAAACCCCTAACCATTTAAAACGCATTTTTAATTTCTTGTTTTTCCTAAACTGATATACAGTCATATTCCATTAATCACAATATGGGTCAGATGAGGCTCGGTTGTTTGATTTTAAGGATCTTTTGAAAATTACAAACTTAAAGCAGGCCAAAAATGTGTTGGTAATATTCCAATCTTAAACTTTGTGATTTTTATTAGCTCCAAATGAAAACGTTACCACTTTTTAACAGAAATAAAAATTTGATAATATCAGTCTGCTTTTTTTTAATTAATCTAAATAATGCTGATCAGTTATTAATTGGGTCCCTGACATAAATTAACTTTTCAGTAATCATCTAATGTATGTGACTGACTGCATTTTCCAATTAAGATGGCATGTTTGTTTAACAAAATAGCAATAAGATGAAATAAGCACCTGGAGGCATTGGAGGTTGTACATCTTTTCCTTTTATATCTCTTTGAAAATTGTAGTTCGAAATACACGGGTTGTGATGTAAGCGTGAGGCCTGGTAACTGCAATTATTTCCCAGAATAATTCCCCACATTCTTTAGGGCTGCACAGATTCCTGCACTAAATCTCCATACACCATAAAATCACTCAAGGGTGTTTATTGTGTCTAAATAATGAATAGACACAGCCTTTCCAAGTTGACAGTGAAAAATTCCCAGTGATCTCCCCTGACAGAATGCATTACACAGTAAGATCATTTAGCCGACCACAAACTAAAATATATGCATTATGCTGTTCTTAAATTAATTTCCTAATTCAGCTGGGGATAGTTATTTTACAGTCAGCATTTTACAGCTGAGAGACTGATAGACTGATAAAGATGGGAGATGAGGAAGTCAATAAGATTTGAAGCCTGTGCTTAATATTCTTTTCTGTTTTGCTCTCTCGTTTCAGATGAACATGGACATTTGAAAATATACCTGCCCAAGAAGCTACTTGAATGTCTACCAAAATGCACGTCGCTGCCGAAGGAGAGGCACCGGTGGAACACTAATGAGGTAAGGACGCCGCTGCTTATCAGTCCTGCTTCCACTAAATCCATCTCTGCGCAGAGATATCCTTCCAGCAGACACGCTGCTCTCAGAGGCCATTTTTGAAACAGATTTGTAAGTCATGTGAACTCTCTTCAGAGCAATGTCGCCGCGGTCTTTCAGGATCCCCAGGCTAACTAAGTGTTCTTAAACAGTAGAGGCATCCTGCTCACATCACCACACTTAGGTTTTTTTTTCTCTCTGTTTCTGAGTTGCTGATTTTAGTATTTTATTTTTTAGAATTTGTTCATACAATTAAGTGCTGTTAATGTACATCTTTAGAAGTGAGTGCAGTGTTTATACATTTATAATTTATTTATCTTTATTTATAAAGATATGATGGAAAAACTGATTTGTTTCTTAGTAAATCCCCCTTTTATTTTAGAAAATCTATTGCTTTGTTAGTGTGTTTTCCAGTTTTACTTTTAAAAATAAAGCACAATGTAGCAAAAGGCAAAAATGCTTAAAAATTCCCTTTATATCAGCCTGAATCCTGATATATTTCAAACAGCTGTGTTTTTCTATTATAATTCACTCATTGGGGTTTTTCCTTTAAGAGAACGCCGTTAGGCATAACATATTAGTTAAATGCTTGTTTTTTGTGAAAGGACAGTTATATTTTTCTTTATCTTGTTTTAACGTCAAACATTGTAATTAAGCATTTTGGCTGCATAATAGGCAGAAAATAATAACATACTTCATTTAACACATAAATTGATGTCTTAAGGAAAACTGCACATCTATGAAAGCTTTTATGAAAGGTACATTTAGGCTGAAGTTATTCTCTAAGTGCAGAGATAAAAGAGAAATAGAAATACATTTGGACAGATCAGTCAGATTGACATTGATGTCGACTTGTTTTTATTTATCAAATGAATCAAATCTACGAACTCCCAGCATTTAAAATCTGTGTGTATATATCAACCATCTGCTTTGATGCACATTGATGCAAGTTTAGGCACAAATGCATTTATGCATAAATAGAGAAAACCTTGGAATTCATTTATTTTGTTTAGCTCAAAACTGTTACTTCTTTGTAAGGAAATTCATTTTTTATTTTATTATTGGTAAAAAAAAAGTTGAGTTATATTCAGATGAAGAAAAATCTGAAATCTAATGAAATTGTATCGACTACTCAAACTCAAAATGATGAATTTCTATAAACATGTGACTGAAAGTGGCACATCAACGTTTACATACCTGCTACAATGAGTGAAGACAGATTTCTCTCCTTTATTTTTAGGTATCATCCTGTAAATAGAAAGAAAAGAAAGATATCCCATTGGGAGTTACACGTGTAGGAAAAGTAAATAAACTGTTCTGATATCCTGGTTTTATTCATGTTTGAAAACAATCTAACCACCATGTTTGACTCCAGAGCTAAATTGTAAATAAAGGTAGTTAGATCACCTAAAGAGACATGCCCACCCAATCAGAGAGACGTGGAAAGTCAAAATGTGTTATGCAGGTTTACTCCAAACAAAAAGTATAGCATGCTTTAATCAAATTAAAGCGTACTTTAATGGTTGTTAATTGCACCCGTTCTTCCTTCTAGCAGGGGTTATTTTTCAGTTTAGGATAAATGTCACATTATATGGGTAAAGGGTTTAAAAAATATTTAGCTTTGCCCATTACATCCATTCTAACAGCTGTATGTGCATCACGCCACACAAATCATTTAGTTAAGATATAGGAAATAGTTTTTATGATGAATTTTTCAATGAGTAACATACATTTTCTCCAACTATAAGAGCCCAGAAGAAAGTTGACATAAGTATTAAACATGGTATACTGTAATTCCCAAACAGGGACTTGTGTTGCTTCATTTGCCTCAGAACTCATTTGTCAGCCCGCTCTCCTCCTCATGGGATAGCTTGATGAATTTATTGCTTTCATTTCCACTATTGATGGATGAAAATCTTGTTCTTCTATTCAGAGAAAAACTGGCAGGATATTAGACCTAAATACACTCAATGACAAATCTTAAGGCCAATGCGCAAAAATCAACCATCCGTGCTTTGGGGATTAACAAATTGCAGCCATATAAATACAGTCATCTGCAGTGATGAAAGTTAATTGAGTGAATAACAACCAGATGATAAGGCACCAGATAGAGGTTGTTCTTAAGAAACAGGATATTCAAAAAGACAACGTTTTTTTTTTTCACATTGATTTTGTCTATGTTTAGCAAACAATAAAAAATGAAACCCTCTGTTGTAAAGAAAACAAAATAACAGTCCTCATTACCGTAGAGGGGTTTGCCTAGTTCTTTATGATTTACATCCCTCTAGGTCTCCATCCTCTGTAAGTTTCCATCTGTCATGTCTGGGCTCACACTAGACCTGCCCTAGTTATGAAGAAAATGTAAAACGCTTGTGTATTTCTAATTGGCTGATGTTGTAACTTGTTTGCCCTGTTTGACCTGCATTGTGCTGCCAGCGGTGTAAATTAATTAACATGGTTTTGAAATTGATCTCAAAATGTAAGTCTAAGCATTTGCGAGGGAATGCTGTCGGCCACAGTGGTTAGCGTGCGAGGTTGTCGGTTACAGAACGAAACCGTCTCTTCGTTCTGTCTCAGATTGCCGATGTTTGCCTGCTGACGGGCAGGCGAAGTAAAAATGACTGAAATAAGCGCCTTTCTTGGTGTCACGTTATGCCTGCCAATAATGTTTGCCAAGGCCGAGGAGAGCTAGGTAACCTTCCCTAAAACCAAGGGCAATTCCTTTTTTATGCAGACCATGCAGATCTCAGTGTTTGTGCCTCACTGGTGGCAGACAGGCTGGAGGGGAGGGACCATAGAGGCTCTTGTCGGTGCAATTGTGTGACTCTTACTGAAAGTGACACCTCATCAATTCAGTGCATATTTCTGGCACCAGCTCAGCAGGCTTAATGCACTAATTTCCCCCTTTTGATATTTCAGAAACCTGAGTCGTCTAGTACATTATTATATGCTGTATATCATCATTATTTCTCCTCTTTGATGGTATTTTGTGTTTAAGATCATTTTTCTCCTCAGGCAGTCTTCATTAGTCGTTTTGCAAACCCACAGGTCAAATAACAGTGTGAAATATTTAAAGCTACTATGATTGATCAATTAATTCATTGATTAATATTAATTTATCTTGTAAATTAATTATTATGTGTAAGTTTTCCTGCCATCTGGATTGACCTTTTTTTTAAAGAATTTTTTTTTTTAAATGGTTCAGTTGAACACAATTTACTTTTAGTCCAGTTCACTATCATCCTTAGACTAACACAAACTTTTTCGATGTATACAGCTTTGCAACAGTGAACAAGCAGCTTATAACGGTGAAATGAACATTAACATTTATAAAGTGCAGCAGTTATCAAAAACGTAGACCGTGTAGGAGAAACGGAAAACCAGTTTTAAGTCATGGTGCAAAAGCCATATGAAGAAATTCTCGCAGATTGTCTAAGGCCCCGTCCACTCGAAGCCAAACCCTGGCCTAAACGCACAAATTTTTCACCAAACCAGCCTCTCATCCATACGAAGCCGGCGTTTCGGGGTCTGTAAACGATCTTTTTTTTATCAAGCCTTCAGAGTGGGAAGATTTTGAAACGCCGTTTTCGCGTTTCCATCTGTAAGCTCTAACCGCATTTTTTTTCTTACACGCATGCGTCATAGCGTCGCCTCTAAACACGCATGCGCGACACAGTATCACAACAACAATGGCGCTGTACTGTGTTGAACGGTTGCTGCTCATGCTACTCACCCTGCTGTCGGGCTTACAACAGAATCTTCTTCTTCTGGAATATCTCCAGGAAGAACAGAGCAATATCGACGACATAGTTCAGCACCTGAATTTGACTGAACCACGAAAATGGACCCGCAGGGCAACCATGTATAAATATTAGTGCGCATGCCCAACATTTCGTCGCCTATTTTTGCTTTGGCACCACAGCGCCACCTAAGGCCTGGCATACATTTTGCAGCGTTTTCATGCATTCGTGTGGACGATCACATTTATTTTACGTCTCCGTCTTTACGACAAACGTTCTGGAAAATATTAGCGTTTCGTGTTCGTTTTGACTTCGTGTGGATGGGGCCTAAGAGCTGTAGCAGCTGCTGGCCTTACGGGGCCGCCATCTTTACCCATCCTCAGGCACTTTTTACAAGATAACGCAGTCCGGAATAATATGATCCGACCAAAGAGTGCAATTCCACCAAAAAGTATTGTCACATTCAATAACAACATTTAAATTTGGATTCTGTCTATAATAGGGTTGTCACGATACAAAACTTTTCAACTCGATACCGATACTACGTAAAATATTCGATACTCGATGTCATTTTCGATACCACAAGGATAAAAACAAAGACTCCAAAATTCAACAGAAATTATTTAATTAATAAACAAAATACAATGAATAGATAAATAAATACAATAAACAATATTTTGTGGTTGTATGCTGTGCACAATATTAAGCATTAAGCTTGATAAAAGACTTACAAAATTAAAATTAAGTTTTCCTTCTTTGGCTATGCTTTACACACATAACAATGACACTAGCCAAACTAGTTAAAAAACAAAAATAATTCTCAGCAGCTGCACCTGTTACAGAGAAAGTCTGAAACCGAAAAGTGCACGGAATTATTCAATCACACAGTGTTCAGAAAGTGCATTTTCCTCTAATCTGCACATAAGATGAATGACTGTTTAGGTGCCACTGGTGGTAGCACTGTATCGATACTTTTAAAAATGAGTATTGTATCCGGATACAACTTTTCAGTACTCAAAAAAGTATCAATACTTTTGACAACCCTAGTCTTTAATACAGTGTAAGTTATGGTTTAAATTATCTCTGTAAGGAGGCCAATCCATTAGATTTGTTGACTCTAGTCCAATGGATTATTCTTTCCATGTTAACGACTTGAGATTTGGCATTTTTGGTCCTTAATACCAAAGCGATGAAACATTAAAGCTGATAAAAATCTTTACTATA